AGCAGCTCTGTACAACATTAATCATACGAACATTGCATCAACTTGGTAGTTTGGAATAGATTGATTCAATTTAATTTGTCTTATGAAATAAATCAAATGTCTCAGTTCTGTAAGGTATTAACACAATGACATCACCTGCTGATGCAGTTTTCCCAATTCATTTCAGCTGTTCATGGAGGCTTTCAGTAGGTGATGTGTTTAAAATCATGACTGAAAAGTATCTGCCGACACCTGAATCACTGAGGACTTGGAATAAAAGGAACAATACACAGATATGGCTACTATACAGTAGACGTTATACATGCAAGTTAGAAATAGCTAATATCGTATTTTCTCTATTAGAATCATATCTCCAACTTATAATAACCATAGACAGCTGTCATGAGCAACTAATATAACAAATACAGCACATGTTTAAGTGGTCCATTCAGAGTCTTCAGCTCTACAACAAATTAAGGTATTTAAAGAAATTTTACCAAATACATTGGTCCTTGACTAAATTCAGACATTTGTTGATAGATTTGCATACATTAATAATTATTATATCCTGCAATTAATATTTCTACTGGGAAGAAAAACAGGATCAGAAATATAAGTAGTTGATCATTTGGATGTTTTAAAATTTAAAATTCAAGTTGCCCATCCATTTGACTGGTTAGAGAATAAAAGTACCTATTCCAATTGATGATGTACCTGAATAGCAAGATAACATTTCTGGACATTTATGACTACCTTCATTTTGTCAGTAAAAATTTGATTATAATTCATCTGTCAACATGGAGAAGTAACTTGTTCATTTACCTGTTTGGAACAAGTGGTCAGGACTTTTGACCACTGTTAAAGAAAATCTGGGGTATTTCTATGGCAAAACACACCATTTTAATGACATGCTATACAATAACTGTTTGGTTATTTATATAGTTAACTTTTTGTCTCTGACAATTTAAAAACATTCGCAAAGGCACACTTGTTACAAAAGTGCAATGATCACAAATACAAAATTCTGATTTAGCAAAGATGAAGAGTAGCAGTAGCATTTTAAATGGTTCACTAAAAAATAAATGCAACTGTTTGTTTACATGTGCTTCTATTATAGATGCACTTCAGATACAACAAATAAAAAAATTCATAACTGTCTACACAAATACACCAGACATTTCCATATTGTTAATGCTACATACAATTCCAATTTTCGTGAAAGTCACCAACATTGTCTTAGGATAGATAAATGTTCACACTGCTATAAAATTTTGAGATTTTTTCTGAGTCGTGAAAAATTGTTTGTGAAATTGAAGCAGTTTACAGTACACAAAGTGCTTTCAGAAAGTACTGTTGAAACTTGACTATTGACAATGTCGACTTGTTACTCATATAAAAACAATGATGAGTAAATCACTTCTGGGCACTAATACAAGTTTACCAAAATTCTCATGCATGTTGATACATTCAGTGCCTTGTCACACCTACAGTAAGCACTAGACAAAATATTTGAAGCATAATAAAATTCTGGCCTAAGCACTAAGTTTATCTATCTATACATCAGTTTATATCTGAAAAAACTGTCACTAGTTTAATCTGCTGAAGACGAGATGGGACTGTACAAATACAATTTTGTTCACCGATGCTCTATCTGATGTTCCTCCAAATGGAACCAGGTACAAGGAAAACCATATATATTAACCTTATATATATATTGACCACATCGTGAAATAATATTACAGGCTTATTGTGAAAGCAAAGTGCTGCTGGGGCTGCTGCTGCTGCTGATCACACAATTACCCAGGATCAAGGCCTTGTATTATTACTAAAGTGTTTCAAGGTCGTCTACATATCAGCTATATGACAAATGTACATGGAGTGTACTTGTACGTGCTGTAATGAAAGTGGATACTAACAGTTCATGCGGACAAGCGACCTATCAGCAACTGTACTCATTTTAAAATGATAGTCTCACCATGGAATTGTTTTGTTGTTTTTTCTCTTTTTAAATTGTCCCATCTGTTGTCCATTCCAATCAAAATTTCTTATAATTTAGAGGTTTGTGTGCCCCCTTACACTAGAAAATACTTTTAAAAAAATAGTCTAGTCATCGAGTGTAGTATTTCCGCGTCCAAATGCATTAGTTTCAAAAATCCAAACAATAGTGTCGGCCATATCAGTGACCTCTTTTCACGAGAGTCCGAATAACATTTTCAATTATAATCAAAACTTATGGTGATTTATTGACACAATAAGACAAATTAGTGGTCATGTAAAAATGTATCATAAAACGGGTGATACACTGCGAATTAATGCGATAAAATACAAGGTGATAGACACAGAGACTAAAAATTGACATGAGGCCTGTGAAATTGACGCTACCGCTGGTCTTAAATTCAATCATTGTCCGCGGCAATTTTTAGTGTCCGAAAAAGAGAAATGCCAGTAAAGCGGAAGGTTAAATTGGCATACAACGAATCACTAATTCACGGAGATCAATGATATTGACCTATGTCACAGATATAATTTATAAACAGTGAAATATAGAGTGAAATTGGTGAAAATCACACATGCAAATCATGATGTCGGCCATGTTGGTTTTCACACACTCACACGAGCTGACCTCTTTACACATCATCAGCACGATAAAAGCATCAAAATTAAGACACATTCAGACTCATTTCTAGGCCTGCATAAGTGAAAATTTACAAAAACATTCAAAAAAAGATATTAACCTGATAGTTGCTGTAGTTCTTCGCGAATGTACGCTTCACCCACAGTCTCACAATTTCAACCTCCGAAAATAGTCGGAATATCTCGGCGGGAAAAATACAACAACGTGATTGGCCAACGACAGTGATCGAAAACCGCCGAAGGTGTTCGGTTTTTTTCGGTCGGAGTTTTCTACTCACACACGAAGTAAACTCGGTGAGTCATTCGTGCGATCGAAACAGTGGACAGCACGCCACGTACTTATGGCACGCGACACAAATACTAAAATATAGTAAAAGGAGGCCAATTTTCAAAATACGAATATTAAATTCATCTTGATTGGTCATTTAAAATTAATATGATTTTGTTGCCATGAATCAAAAATAACAATCGACTGGTGAGTAAAATGCGATGACTTAATTGCATAGGCGATCAAACATTCCGACTCTTCTACCAACTACCTTCACCATGCAGGTAGCCCTACTCAGATCGTTACATCGATTTTGTACGCTGATACAAATGTTATTTCTAAAGATGCAATAAAACATTAATATTAATTATTTCATCATTTTATGGAAATATTTGTTTCTATTCAGTTGCTTATAACTCAAAACATAGTTTAGTCAAATACGCGCATCATCCATAATATGTGGGCAGCAAGTGTGGACATGTTGCTAAGTTGTTTTCTGGTTACATAGGTATTTACGATGGGTACCGATTCATACAAGAATGAACCGAACAAAATACCCTCGGTTGTTTCTAAGTGGAGGAGCACTTGAATGCGGAAAACACAGGACAAATAAATGCATATGACGGTATTTTACACGTGTTGTATAATGTCGCATGGGACCCATATCGAAAATGTCGCGGCATGGCAGCCACAACTCTTTAATATGTGACATACTTTCCAATTCTCGGGGTCGAATCCCGAGTAACCCAATACTTTGTTTCCGTCATCACTAACCGTGGTGGTTGGAGAAGGGGAAGCCTGGTATCACGTATAGTACATGATGTATTCGTGGTTCCCGTGTAAACCACGTGCATAAGTGTATTTACATGGATGTATTGTATCACGGTCCATAGTGTTATAAGAGATGCCAATATTTGCATGTTTGCACTTTTCAGGTGGGTCGAATAGACATGTCTTGTTATGTCGTGTGCGCTCGATGACTTCACGGATTTTTTTTAATAATTATATTTATGTACGACAAATCTTATAAGACAAAATGATCTGACCGTGTGAACATCACAATCTAATGTCTTATGGGTAGACCATTAAAAACAGGAAAAAAATGCAAAATAGTTTTTACTTCACTTAGAATTATGCTATTTTTATCATGCTAGCATGCGGTTTTATATAATGTATGTCCAGAAGAAGAACCATAAATACACCGAAAATCGGCGGTAAACTGCGGGGTAAGTTCTTCACGCAACTCCCAGCAAGCATTGCCTTGCCCTCTAAATGATGGCCTCATACTTATTCCACTGTTTCACCCTAACATCTTTCCGTTTTTTTTTTCTATGTTGCCTGAAGTTTTGTTTTTTATGGCAATACTAATAATTAGTACTGCATCCGCAATCATGATGTCGATATCGATGTCGGCCATCTTTGTCTCCATGGATACGAAAACAATCTCGCCAGATTTGGCTGACCGTGTGAGCGCATTGGCTTCGAAGATTTGTCTTATCTGATATCTTATATGATTTATCTTATACGATTAGTGTGACCATGTGGACCGACCCTAAGTCGGGATTAAACATGTTATTAGTCAGATCACGATTGCCTGGACACGTTCGTGCAGAGATATTTTGAAATGTCGCGTGCCGGTTGTTTCACGTCCTATATCATGATGGTTGTTTCCACTTATTATATTATCCGATGGTGTCGCCTACGAAAAACAAAATGAAAAACTAAAACCACTGAATGCACAGACAGCCGAGAAAGGATTACAGTCTACTTTACTTCAAAAGAAAAGCTTCACTTGTATTTTTGTGGTATAAAGTCACAGTTTATGCTGCAACTAGGCACGTAAAAACACGAGGGGACTATTATTAGTCCAATGATTGACAATGCGCACGCAGTTTCAAAATTTCAGGCAAAGCTGTAAATATTCTTCCCTGTATTCCTAAAACCCTTTGTAACCCTGTTCATCCCTCTCGCCTCGGTCGACAATGAGCTCTTCGGGTCGCTAAAACTGTATGTCCACCTCTGTTGGGGTGTACATTAGTATCATGACATCATAGACATGAATTCCCTTATTAATATAATCTCGGATAACTATGTTTTGTTCCGAAGCGTCACAATAAACTGATTATTAAAACTGCTATCTCCCGGTAAATTTTCTTCTAGTCATTGCAATATTCCCTGATATATTTATGAGGGGAAAATTCTTCTCCTCTCGGGTTCTCCACATGTGTCAGGGGGGAATCTCGTCTCGTCTCTCTATCGCGTCCCCTTGAGGTACGGGATCGGGAAAGTCACTTAAACTTTACAGTCAAATAAGACACACACAGCGAAATACGTTTCAACTCTCGTTTAGTCGGTCAGTCGAGCACTCTATAAGACACAGCGCCCTGGGGAAAATCCCCAAGACTATCGCAATGCTGACCCAAGACTCGCCCCAAGACTCTCCAGGACTGGACTGCGTCTCTCGTGGTGTACTCGCCAAGACCAACTAAAACAACTTTATTCACTTTCAAAACTTTAACCAATTACAAAGCAGTAAACAGACTCTAAGGCGTGGCCTTCAATCATAAAGCCTATCACACTAAGTACTGAATACGTCATATCTTTTGATTAATCGTTCACTACATTAATAACTGCGAATACTAACTGTCAGAAATAGTAGTCCGAATAGCGACGGTTATCTCGTAATTAGTTCCGAATCACTGAACCAAGTTCCGTCCGGAAACTCGCATGGGCCTAAATGATGACAGACATAACACAGCCATTCATTCGTAATCAGCTAATTAAGTCGATCAACAGATACGCAAAAACAAATTCATCACATATTCTTAGTAGTGTTTCAGCAGAAACCGTGACTTCAAACATTTGCATATCAAAAGTATTACTATATTTGATTGAGATGTTTCGAATTTGAAATTGTATTGTACGCTTTTTTTGAACTTTCATCTTCAACAAAAACGATATGAGTTATATATTGTTAAAACGGAAAAAAAAGTGTATTCTGTATGAATGTTACCACTCCGGGGACAGGGGTTTCCGGTTGTTAGGATCAACATTGAATAAAGTCAAAACAATATCCGTTTAGCATTTTCCAAAGAGTATTGCAATATTCCTGAAGTATATGCAGTTTTCATTTTGGTTCAAAGGACAGTTTTTTGAACTGTGAAATTTATAAATAGTCTTACAACTGAAGAGAATGGGTTTGTTGCGTCGATAGTAATACTGCACCAAATGACATTTGTTGTAACACATATGGTGGGAAATATTGAGTTTGAATAATTAGTGAGCAAACAGCTTCTCTCTCAACTATTTGAAATCGAGGAGAAATCCTTTTATGTACACATGCATTCAGAACATTTTGTTTACTCTTTCTTTTTTAAATATAGTGGTAATATGTATTTCCATACCACGTTTTCACTGGTGGATCCAGAAATTCCTATTAACGTGGCCTAAGTAGACCTCCGGCGGGCTGGGTTTCTCAATTGATTCGTCATTTTTTGCGGGCCTCTCCCTAAACCCGCGCGTAGACAATCGACCACATGTGTAAAATCAAAAGTGTATCTATCTGCATACTATTATCTAAATGTGTACCACGTGACGTGATATGTCACCATGTATTTAGTGCCACAAAGATAATTATGGCTTGCTGTTACATCTGTTACATGAAAAACATTGAAACGAAATCGATATCTCTACTACCAATCTCTCTAACACATTGCAATATCGCTAGTAAAGTCGGTTATGACGTCAGCACTTCACAAGAAAAACACACGTATGGTTATATTGAGAGGAAAAGTAGGTCCACACATGAATATTATGACACGTTGTTTAAATGATCTCGTACATATTCAAATTACGTGATCTTTATATCAACATAGTAAGTTCCGGTGGAAATCTGCCAAATTTGAGTTCAACTAGATCTATATTGCCCTGCAGATACACGTAGCTTAATTTGTAATCAATTTGTCGCATGTTCGGAATTGTCGGTACTTTGAACATACCACGCCATGAGGTTATGGCATCCAGCCACATACATCATTTGCCCAAATCAAGACAGCCCCTTGGTACAAATATTTACGATATGAGAAAAGATAACGGGAAAATAAACTAAGAACATGTCTATTCTTTGAACAAATTAAGATAGAAGATTTCTTGACAAACCGTACTGAAATCTGAACATATTTTTTTGTCTACGTGTCTGTTCGCCGTGAATTGAAACTTGACGCCATACAAACTAGAAAGATTCATAATTCTTCATGTTATGCCCTGCTCGCGCCCAACAAAGAAACATGCTATTCCTGGAAGCAGGGACACTGCCAAAAATGTAATCAAATTAACTATAATATTTTGAGCAATAAGCCCGTGTTAATCCCTTTAGGTCAATAGTTGAAAATCTGTTTTGATTCTAGGCAGTAGATGACGTTATCCGAGCCCTGTCATTATTGGTAGAACACATTAGTCTTCCATCTTTGTTGTGATTTTCTATGTGTTGTGTTTTAGCTTAGTCATTCTTTTTTTTTCTTGTGTTTTCAGTGTGTTTTTGTGCATTGTGTTCATTTTCACTCATTTCAATGAATAAACAAAATGGTGTGTTACATTTACAATAATCGAATGATAAGTCACATGCCATATCTGGTACATGTATGTGGTTCAGTCAATCACAATAGATGAATTCTGATGACATATCACCGTGAGAAATACACAAATGTGCAGAATGCGTAACGAGACTCAGTTTCGAATAACAGAGTGCAATATCATATGAATCATTCCATTCATATTATTGAAAAAAAAATGTTTAAGATAGTTTTGTAGCTATTGGGGTTCAGAAAACATTTGACACTGTTATGTTTGAATCGTGAATGAAATGTTTTAATTTAGGTACATACTTTTTAATCACTTCCCCTTCAAGGTACTCGTATGTATTGGTGGATCGTCATACAGAGAGGGCGCTATATCCGATTTCTCCCAACTGTGTGCTGTTGTCACATCTTAAATGTTTGTTTGTATCATTAAAGGGCGCTGGTTGTCGCGCAGCAGAGTTCGAATTTCATTAAAAAATAGGGTTTTTACATGTGCCGTGTACGTCACTATGAGTCCCATATCGAACAGGACGTGGCGCGAAGGCTACCACCCTTTAAACTACAGATACAAGTTTCGAGCTCCGTCGTTACCTTTGAAACTCGCCCTGGCATGAAAACGTTCCAATTTCGTCTGCGAAAACCACGAATAAATTCCGCGAATAAATTCCTACTCCCTTCCTCAATTATCGCAAGGAAACCGACTGAAGGGGCTATAACACGAAACTCGTCTACCCAGAGTTATGAGGGAACCAGAATTGTCATTGCATATTACAGCTTATGACATGATGGGAGTGTGCATGAATCCTTTGCAATCTCGGCAGTCGTTGGGTTGGTGCACGTGGCTTGTTAGCTGGTGTATATATCTTGTAGCGTTGGTTATGTGTGGGCTTAGAATGCAATGTTCTTCGTGGTATTCTGACAGAATGTGCCGACAATGACAGTATGGTGTTATAATTTTACGAATGAGCTCCCTTTTAAATTCCCTGAGCTACAGGGGGCTCTCACTTCAATTCACCACCCGAGTTAGTGGCGGAGTCCTTCCGTGACGTCAAAATGACTTATATAGGTAAAATGAATTTGGTTCAATTCGACAACTGCGTTTTGTTGTATAGTTGTTCGTCATCTAGAACACGCTTGTCCTGGGATTTTTACAATGGGGAACACGAGTCTTTTTGTTTGAGAATATCCAGGTGAGGGGATCACGGTGGAAACGAAACGAAACGTTTCAATGACATCACAATGACGTAGGTGTGAGAAACAAGTGTCCGTTTAAATGTATCGTTGAAACCATAATAAGCCATAGGTGTTGACTGACATTCCATTATTGATTCAGAACGCAGTCATTGATTGGTTAATCCTCGTCTGCGTGGAAAACGCCGTAATGTTCTATTTCACTTTTAAAGTTGAACGGTAGTTGTGTTCCAAACACTTCGATAAACATTTTACCATTTCCGATAATCATAGTTATTAAGTTTATTTTCAAAACAAAATCATGTTTATAAAACCTTATCTCAACAAGTGAATTTTTTATATAAAAAAATTGCCCTTGGTTGTACACATTGGTATCACCTTAATTTTTTCAAAATATTATTCCATATTTAGAAAGTGCATACTTTTTAATTGAGAAATATTAAGTTGAAAGCTATGTACTCCAGTCTTTGACAATTGTCGAGAAAAGCAAAGCATACCAGTATTCGACAATTGTCGAGTAAAGCACATCAGTCTCAAAAATTG